CTTCCGCATTCCTACCCGATATTTGCGGCTAACCGTTCAGTAGGGTAGGGTAGGAACTTGCGGCCGGTCAAAAATTTGAACACTCCTAGTCGGGCTGATCCCTTCAAAATAGTTGGGAATACCTTACACATGATTTTCGTCAGGATGTTGTGCACCTACATTAAGGTCTTGTAGGTTTCGAGGTGACAAGTGGGTCCTTTGTACAGTCGAAAACAGGGGTGTTCACCCTACCCTACGGGTAAGAAATATACTTTTTCGTCTTCCTTCCTGATACTTCGCGAAAGAAATTTTTCTTGGCCTACCCTACCTGATCAGGTGTGGTATTCCTACCCGATTTTCTACCCTATTAGTCGGGTAAGAAGTCGGATAAACACTTTTGTAGCTATTTTTAGAAAATAGTAAGAAAATTTTGTTTATTTATAAAATAGAGAAATTACAAGAAGCAATCATGACACATAGCCTCACAAAAACAACCAAATAAAACTAAGGTACATGCGCCATTTTCAAGTAAATTTCTATGTTCCTTGATTATGAAGATGGATATATTTCGAAACATATCTACAACAACAGATTGTTCTCTGCCTTTGACTTCCAAATTTCTTATTGGAAAAATAGAGTATCATTAAGCGGTGGGTCTCGTGAGTGATTGAATGGAAGTGTGGTTTGTTCAAAAGCAAACCACCTTCATAAAAACACGACGAATCATGAACAATAAAAACAACTTCAACACATATGTCAATTACTTCAGTCTGTAACTGAAACCTTAAACATTTCTAGATCCAGAAAACAATAATATTGTCCATTAGAAATTATAGCAAGTTTAGAAAACCTTTAAATACACATCAAGTACATAATATCACCTTTAACAAGAAAGAGCACTGTTATGGGTTCAAAATTTACAGTAAAAATGATTTTGAACACCCAGAACAGAAATATCACCTTTGACGTTGTTGGGATCCAACTTACAGCTCAAACCAGATGATTCGTAAGGAAGCAAGGTCGCGTAAAGAGAGAGAGAGAGAAAGAAAGCACCAGATCGCGATCAGACCAGACCACACCAGAGAAATGTGCAATCAGACTAGACTAGACCACACCAGATCGCGAGAGAGAGAGGGAGAGAGAGAGAGAGAGAGTACTTGGGGACTAAACGATGAAGGTGGAATAGAGTGAGGACTGAGGTGTGAGGCGCTCTCGGGACTTAGTAGACGATTAGGGTTTTTTTTAGTTTATATATATATATATATTTATATATATATATTAATCAATTAATGTGGGTAGGGTAGGGTAGGAATGCAAAAATGGATGACTATTCCGCATACCTACCCGATTTAATCGAAAGACCAAAAACTCTTTTGTATTCCTATTTGATTTTTGCGGCTAATTGTTCAGTAGGGTAGAAAATTGCTGCCAGTCAGAAATTTGAACACCCATAGTCGAAAGTTTCTGCGGATGGTATTTTGAACTTTTGGAAAAGTGGGTAGTTTGCCACATCTGGTACGAAGGGTGTGTTGGTTCGCCTTACCAGGTAATCCACAGTTTTGGGTCCTTGTGCTTTCATAGCGTTGAAGACGCCGCTTAGCTGATTCTGCACTTTTTTGATTTTTTCGTCCTAATGGTTAGGAGCTCCATTGAAATTGTCGTGGAAATGGATCTCATGCTCCACGCTTTAGTTTTCGCCCTCGTCCTCTTGAAAATGGGGGTCTCCATTATGAGAAGAGGGAGCTGGAAGAGGAGGTGGAGGTCCTTCATGATGGGCTCCCCTATATGGGGCGCTCAAGGGGGATCCCACGGGGGTGCCCAAGTGGGGAGCTCCTTGACGCCAGGGCGTGGAGCTTCTCTGACTTGAGGTCCTTCGAGTTGTGCTCTTCCTTGTTGTTCAGTAAGCATTAATTGCAGGATCTGCTGATTCTGAGCTACGAGCTTCTACACTATCTCCAGCCTCTGTTGTGCATTTGGAACATGATTGGTTGGTGGAAGAGAAACCTCCTCCCCTCATAGTGGATTGTCCTCATATTGATTCATGGATATGGTAGTGATCGTCATAGGTGTAACAAGAAAAGTGATTAAGTGAGAATTTTGTCAATTCCACAGATGACATTAAACTGATAATGCACAAATTGATTTTATGTACCACCTGTCAAGTAATCAATAATAAATGTAGTAATTAAATAAAGAGAAAGAGGAACTTGAGTGAGACAAAGATGTACAATGATTCGGTCAACGTGACCTACGTTCACTTTGAAGGGTTAGAGCTTGGTTATTTTATTACTTGGAAGAGTGTAGGGAGAGTATAGAGATACAAGCTATGAGAAAGAGAAAGAGAGAGAGAGGAGAGGAGAGTGATAGAAGATGTGCTTGATTGTGTTAGATGCCCCTAAGTGTTGGCGAGATTTACAATTTATAGTCGTCTCCTAACAGATTGAAACGACTTATCAGTAACTAAGTGGCTAATCTGGTGGAGTTGACGTCATCTTCTCAACGGATGAGGTAGTTACAATGCTCCCTATAAGATTCGGTAAGAGATGACATGGTGGTTGACTCTTTCCAAGGAGGCGTGGATGAGACTCTTGGATGACCCTACATACTCCCCTGGTGATATAGCTCCTCGAACCCTGATGAACTTGACCGAACGTGGACTTATTGAATTTCTTTATGTTGGGCTCTTAATTTAAACTGGACTCACAACGTACGTTGAGCTCTTAGGCTTGACCCATTAAAATTTATTTATTTATTTATTTTAATATTATTAATAAATGATCCTACATTATATTATCATTTGAAATGACCGTTGTAACATCACATTACAACCCTTCTAGTACCGGCGGGTGTCATTTTAATAAAGGCGCTAGTGCAACTTGGGTGTAATTCTGTACTATCTATCTTAATTTTTCATTTTCAACGGATAATAGGTTTTTAACATTAGTAACCTCAACGGATTATAAATACTCACGTCTCTGTATAGATAACTTATTTTTTATTAGATAAAAAAAAATTAATCAAGATACACATAAACTAATTTAGATAATTTAACCATTAAACTAAAAAAAAATTAATTTTGGCTTAACAAATATTATCCATACTTTTCTCGTTAATTAATTAATTATATATATATACGCTTGTTAAAAAAAAAGTGGGAGCAAAAAAGAGCGTCCAAATACCACTCTTATAAGTTCTCACTGGTAGGATCATGAGATTTCTAACCGTGTTTGTTACATCTCTTAAGAACGAACTTAATTAAACTAACATAACGGTCAGCCATCAAACTCTAATGTAATCTTATTAATTATATATATTTTTATTACTCATCGTCAGAAATTGGTTGTAATTTGAATCATAAATAAAACAAATGACTTGCCAGTCCTCCCTAGTTGCGTGGTAGGTGGGTATTTGCTTCGTTGGCAGTTTTTTTTTTTTTTTTTTGCTTCGTTGGTAGTTGGGTTTATCCATTTCGGAGTAGTTGAGGAAATGTCCCGTGGGGTAACCTTATAGATTTAATAATCGATGGCTACTCCAGTCACAAAATCGATAGGGTCTTTTATTTTTGGGTTTGAATAAGAAATCGAAAATCGAAATAAAAATTTGGTATTATATCGTTTATTATTATTTTTTTATATTTATATCATTTTTTAAATAAAATTTATTAATTATTGGCGTGCATTCACTTTTTAGATTCACTTATCAAGTTTTTAGTTCACTTACTTTGTTTGGGTAAAGTTTATCAGTTAAGTTTGATTTAGTTTTTATGTATTTTGATTCAATGCTATAAACTTTATCACAATTTTTTTTCTCACTAAAAACCATCATCTCTTTTGCACATTGCATAATGTTAGATAACTCGATCAACACACTTTTCAATACCAAATAACCTCACTAATTTACACATAGGTGTCTTTTTTCTCTCCCCTACTTCTCTCTATTCACTTTAAATTTAAATTGCTTAATTAATTTTCAACATCATATAAAAAAAAATTATTTTAAATTTTCCTTAATTATATGTATTAATTCTAAAAAATTGTTAAATAATAATATAACAAAAAATACACATATATCACATGTTTAAAATATTATTCGGTACGGTGAATAATGTTATATAATTCAAATGAAACTTAAAAAGTTATAATTCATATGCATATCATATTTTGGATAAGTGGATTTCATCAAATTTTTCAGTAAGACTCATTCATCTAATAGATAATATACATTTCAATTGTGACTTTTAGATTTAATTTGAATTAGTTAATATATTTTTTTCAAGAGTAAATATTGGATATAACGGTTATGGTGCACTATCATGCTAACAAGTGAATGAATAATTATTTAATTTTGTAAGATTTACTTATTTAATTATTGTTTTATTACTCAATAATTATACCATGTTAACGTGATAATGTGGTGTAACTCTTCAATCTAATATGAAAAATGTTATCTGGACTTAATTTGGGGACCTAATTCAAAATAATCATTGAATTAATTATGGGCTCTATTTAACATTAGAACTAACAACTGACATAATAGTTATATTAAAATCACATCATTAAATCCCTAAATTAAATCCGTTCCTATGGCATTGCTCATCTAATATTTACCCGAAGAGGATAAGATGTGCTTGCAAATGAGCTTGCATTAATGGACTTAATTGCATTAAGAAATTCAACAACACGACAAGAGGAAAGGGGAAAGAGAAAAGGGGAAAGGGGAAAGGGGAAAGAGAAAAAGAGAGTCACGTTTCTACCTAACAAATATTTTCGTCAACCCCATCGGAATTGTCTTAAATATTATCACAGACAGACAGATACGCCACCCAAAAGCAAGATTGCTTTCAAAAAGATCACGGATCAAGTAGAGAGAAACAAATATTCTAGAGAACAGGAAGCTCCTCATCACCTTTCATGAACACCCACCATAGTTGATCATCTATTGTTCTAAGACACACGATGGTGCAGTTACAAGGGAAAGTCAAGTCCTTTTTCAACAACAGATGGCTAGTTTTTGTGGCTTCGATGTGGGTTCAGTCTTGTTCTGGGATTGGGTACTTGTTTGGGAGTATATCGCCAGTGATAAAGAGCACCATGGGTTATACTCAGAGACAAGTGGCACTATTGGGTGTGGCTAAAGATTTGGGGGATGCTATTGGGTTTATTGGCGGTAGTCTTTGTGAGGTTTTGCCAATTTGGGTGGTTCTACTCATTGGTGTGTTCCAGAACTTTGTTGGCTATGGTCTGGTTTGGCTCAGTATCTCTCACACTATACCTACTCTGCCTTTGTGGTTGGTCAGTTCTCTCTCTCTCTCTCTCTGATTTATATTTATGTAGATTATGGTCTTGATTTGTGGAAGAGGTTGGCTTTTTTTCAACTCTTTGCTGGGCCTCATGATTCATGGTGATTTTTATGTTAATTTAGATGGGTTGATAAGTATAATCGGTTATGCTGTTATACACGAGTATTATAGGATAAGAATAGTCGAAGACATTACAGGTTTCTTGGAAAATTTGACAACTAGTTTGATGCGCCAGTCTACTATTGATCCGAACCAGAATCGAATGTTACATGTAAGAGTAGTTCGAGAAATTGCTGGGTTTCTCTGAAAATTGATGACTAGATTCATTTTTTAGGCTACTACTGATTTCAATCTGGACTTATCTGTTTGCTCATTCTGTTTCCATAAGTTCCCCTTCCAAAGACTAACCACTTGTCTGGACTTTGCATGATTTGGCTGTCATTTTTCGCCTGAATGAGCAGACTATATATCCTCTATATGGTTGAAATTTAGTAGGAAAAATTACCAATAAGTCATACTTTTTCTCTAAAAGAACTATTAGGTCCTATCATATTTACCTTAGAACAATTAAATCCTACTTTTGATAATTTATTGCTAAGAAGTCCTAATCTCCAATAATGGTTTGTTTTGTTCCAATTTTAAGAACTTAAAAATTATATTTTTTTTTATAATTTTTTTATTTAGTTTTATTTATTGGAATATGATTTTTGTATCTTAATTTAAAATCCAAGTAAGTTATAACTTTAATAATCAATTTGTTTTTATGAAAGGAACCAGTTGTTTGCTATTTAATGTGCTTGATCTTTCCTTGTCTTTTCTATACTAATGTTTTGATTATTTGAAGTAGTATCAAATATGTTCTTTCAGTAGATTATTTAGTTATCTCCTTTTAGCAGCAGGGTTTTGTTTTATGCAGTCTGTAATTATGAACGCTATGTTAAAGCAATAAGGAAGTGTTACATGGGAACATGGATTCTAACCTTAGATATACACTCCATCAAGATTTTGGTTTTCTTGTTTTTCCAAAGAAAAGTTGACCTTAACGTAGTCAAATTGTTAGTTGAACCTCGTGGCAAGACTCTTCAATGTCCAGGTATTGACTGATTTGTGGAATGGAGCAGGATCTTCTTTTTATGCAAGATGCTACCATATTGTAGGGCCGTTTCAGCTAAGCTTTGGGTAAAGCCTAGAACAGTATAATCTTTAGAGTAATCTGGATATGGATGTCTGGATGAAGGGAAAAGAACAACTGAATTAGATGAGAGGTGACCATAGTTGATGGAAACCTACTTTTGGAACCAATAGGTGGCAAGATGTGAGAGCGATCTGAGATGGTTTTATTATGCTCTAACATAAAATGGATGGTTCAGTGAGATGTTGACCAGGGGCGATAAAGCTGAAATAGGCTCGAATAGTGTAGTAGTGAGAGGTTCAAAATCTTAAATCTTCTCCATCAAATGAAACTATGGCTGTGAGGAGGTGGCCTGCTATTCAATGTTCACTTTGTGAACCTCAAGGTTGATCAAATTTTCTTATTTCGTGATGCTGAGGCCATGTTCAAAATCTTAGAATTTGTTTGAAAATATCAAATTAGTGTGAAGGCAAACAAGCAGGGCTTGCAAAACCAGGAGTATGTCAATTAATCTGAATTTCTGAATCAGATTTGTTCTCGACCACTTCTTTTTTAATTCTTTAAATACGATATATCGTGCCAATTCAAGTATGAGCTGCTAATAAATTATATGATTAGTTGTTATTAAGCAAATAGGGATTGAACATATCCTTTGGCTCGATCAAGTCGACATATTTCAATTCATTCAAAAACTTTTTAGTTGCTCCCACATGTATTGGACTACACATGGTAAGAAATCCCACGATAACTTAAGGCTAGGTGAAAACGTTAGGTTAGATGATAATGAATGTCTTAAGTGAGGTATTGGAAGTGTTCAGCAAATTTAGAGAAAAACACTAAAAATAGAGCACCTTTTATAAGTGTTGGTTTTGTCACTTGTGCTGCTCGGGTGGATGGTATACACACAGGCCTAATCTTTTGTCCTATTTGCCTTAAGTGATTACTCCTAAACCTAATGTTCGAGAACTCGTATGACAATGCAAGAATCAGTTTGTTGTCCTTAATAATAACGGATAATTATATACTCAACAGAATTCAGTCAACATAATTGTAAATACTGCCACAAGCACATCTAATGTATTGTTCTACAAGAACAAGGAAGTCTTTACTGCAAAATAGCAGTATCTAAAATCAGTGTTGTGAAAAGCGAGCCTAGCCGAGCGCCTAGGCGAGAAGCGAAGTGAAGCAAGCCTTGGTTGCCTTGAACATCCAAGGCAAAGCGAGATTAAGTAAAGTTAGGAAAAAACGGCTTAGACGACGAAGCGAAGAAGCGCGCCAAGCGAGAAACGCGAATGCCTAACTGTAGTTTTTTTATTTTTTCCTCTTTTTCCCCCCTCCTCCTCCTTCTCCTTCTCCTTCTTTAACATTAACCAAACCTAGCATAGATGATATTATGTGTATACGTATAAAATAAATTGATTGATTCGTGTAATATTATCATATGACAATCTGTCTTATTATGATTAGATAATGTTGAATGCTTTGTTTTGAGGTGAATGCTTTTGTTAATCAATTTGCTTGGTTAATCAAATTGATTTTGATCAATCAATTTGTGAGTGTTTTGTTTAGTGATGATATTAATCAATCATGGTGGAAGTTGAACCCACATTTGCTAACTTTACATTTAGATGACGTGATTATGTCAATTGATTATTTTTAGAATACAATAATGTTCAATATTTAATATATTATCTATTTAAAATATGTTGATGTTTATTATTTTGATTGCATTTAAATATTTTATATTTGTAAAGTTAATCCTTGAATATTTTGGAGTAATCAAAATATAAAACTAAAATATTTACATATTTTTTATATTGTTCGCTTTGCTTTGATGAAGCGCTCGCTTAGCTTCTCGCATAGGCTCTAAGGAGACCAGTTCGCTTCGATTCACTTTACGCCTTAAATAACATTGTCCAAAATCAAAACACTTTGTGTCTGTTGCGATGTCTTGATTATTTGAGTTTTTGAGTGAGGACTGGAAAACAAGTCCTTTGCGTGTTTAACTCATCTGGCCTTGCAAAATGTATGCAACCATTAACTGTGAAAGAAAGATAAACAGAGAGACAGTACAAGCTGAATAAAGAATAGATAAATTAGTTTGTAACTTTGTATACAAATTATTATATCATCTGATTGGGTATGTAATACCTATGTAATCAAATTTTGTTTGGAATAAAAAAAGAAGCAGACTGGATATACACTAGACAAATGAAATGAAATGTAGATAAGGATCTGTTTAGAAACGCAATAGGTAAGTTGTGGAAACAAGACACAGGTTTCCTACAAATGCAGGCTAGCTCTATTTAGTGCTATACCTGATATGTATTATAACGTACTTGCATTATGGTTGGATGTGCAATTTTGATTTGCTGTTTAGGGCTTACTCCTTGTTTTCCATCTGTATATGAACCCATTGGTATGTAACTCCTCCTCCCTACCAGTAATTAATTCTTGCCACCTCAAATATATGACTATTTGTAATTGATTAAAATATTTCATACAAAAGTATTTTTTTTTTGTATACTTGTGTGGAAACCAGTATAAATTTAATCCCTTTTTCAGCTATTAACTCAAATTTGTTAACTTGGTTTTGTGTGCAGCTATGCATTTGTATATTTGTGGGAACAAATGGTGAGACCTACTTCAATACAGGAGCTCTGGTTTCCTGTGTGCAGAATTTTCCCAAAAGCCGTGGTCCCGTTGTGGGGATACTGAAGGGTTTTGCTGGGTTGAGTGGTGCAATTTTGACTCAAGTTTTTGCTGTGATCAATGCTCCAAATCAAGCGTCACTTATTTTCATGGTTGCCGTCGGGCCGTCAATAGTGATCACTGCTCTGATGTTCATTGTTAGGCCCGTGGGAGGTCACAAACAAGTTAGGCCATCTGATAGTTCAAGCTTCTTATTTATCTACAGTGTTTGCCTCATCCTAGCAGCTTACCTGTTGGGAGTTTTGCTGCTTCAGGATCTAGTCAACTTGAGTGAGAGTTTAGTCACAATACTTACATCTCTGTTGATCATTCTCATAATTCTTCCAATTATAATTCCTATTCTTTTGGCATTTTTCTCGGAACCAATATCACAAATGGAGGAAAGCCTTCTTCTTGAGTCTCGGAAGCAAGAATCAAGTAAATCTGACCAGGATGGGAATGAGGCCATCTTCAGTGAGGTCGAAGAAGAGAAGACCTCAGAAATAGACTTACTTTCAGGAACAGAAAGGCAAAAACGAATGGCTCATTTGCAAGCTAAACTGTTCCAAGCAGCTGCAGACGGGGCTGTGAGGGTCAAGGGAAGGAAAGGCCCACGTAGGGGAGAGGATTTCACTTTGATGCAAGCACTAGTGAAGGCAGATTTCTGGCTCATGTTCCTCTCCCTCGTATTGGCTTCTGGTTCTGGTTTGACTATAATTGATAATTTGGGTCAGATGTGTCAATCTCTGGGGTATGATAATACACACATATTTGTTTCAATGATTAGTATTTGGAACTTTCTTGGCCGTGTTGGTGGCGGATACTTTTCTGAGGTTATTGTAAGGTGCGTTCTTAAATCTCACTTTTTTAAGGTTATGACCAGCTTTTCTTTTGGAAGAGCACATTATATTTCTTTTTATTTTCTCATCCTTCTGTGTTTTTTTCTTTTACCAGAAATTATGCATACCCAAGACCAGTGGCAATGGCTGTGGTTCAGGTCATTATGGCAATTGGGCTTTTCTTCTATGCCATGGGTTGGCCTGGGGAAATTTATGTCGTTTCTGTGTTGATAGGACTTGGATATGGAGCGCACTGGGCAATTGTGCCTGCAGCTGTCTCAGAACTTTTTGGTTTGAAAAGTTTTGGTGCCTTGTATAATTTCCTAACAATGGCAAGTCCTGCCGGTTCTTTAATCTTCTCTGGTGTCATTGCTAGCGGTATATATGACTATGAGGCAAAGCTACAAAATTCTCTGAGAGAGCAAAATATGGGACCTCTGTTCAAAATACCTCTTGGGGATGAAGAGGCACTCACTTGTTATGGTACCATATGCTACTCTATCACTGCTGCTATTTTGTCTGGACTTTGCATTATTGCAGTGGTCTTGAGTTTGATTGTTGTTCATCGGACTAAGAGAGTTTACACCCAACTTTATGGAAAGTCTTGCATTTGAGCTACATGGAGATGCAGCAAAACATAGTCTTTGCATTAGCGCGAGGGTTTTGAAGTTTTGGATCATCCCTTGGCCGTATTATCTTGGCTCTCCATGAGCACAAAAGTTTTTGTTTTCCATTGTTTTAATTTGTCCACAATTTATTGGAACCAGTCTTCTTGAAAACTTGAATTGATAAGGTTTTTTGAATTTTGGGGCTGTGCTATTCATCTGTAAGCAGCGAGTCAATAACATGCTTCTCTGATTTGTGTTTGTAGATTACGCCGTTGCACCTTTTTATCAGCCTTTTCTTTTAAATCACTTTCTGGGTTGTAATACTATTTATTGAAAACAGTCCACTTAAAATCTTTTATGTTATTCGAGTTGTTTGCGCTTAACAATTCAGCTTGCATCTAAGTTGATTTTGATCTGCAGAAAAGATAAACACATTTTATGCAAGATAGAGAGGCATTAGTTGGGTTGAACTGTTGAGGAAACTCACCCAACATTACTTGCATAGCAAATGGTGAGGGGAAAAATCTTAGGAACCTTATCATGTGCTAGTGATCATTCTCCAACAATCTTAGAAAACTGGTTAAATCTTTTCAGATTCCAGCTAAGGTTGTTGTAATCTTGCAGTTTGTGTTTGAGGTTTATGGTTTAGATTGAGAAACAAAGTGACTCTATGCAGAAATTTCCATTGATTAGGGCAATTTTTTGGCTTTTTATTCAGTCTTGTTTTGACTTTGAAGGATTGTAGATGGTGTACGAAAATTTTTAAGTTCTGAAACTGCATGGTGATAAGTTTGTAGAGTTGATTTCAATCAGAGGTGAGCCAAACTATTACTGAGTCAGGTTTGAAAGCATTCCAGGGGGAGATTGACCATATGGAGGCAACACTTGATCAGCTGGGGGAACAGGTTGGATTTTTCGTAATCTGAGTTATCACAGCCAAAAAAAACCGAGTCTCAGCAATTCAAGTGAGAGTTTATTAGAGTAGCCACGCGGTAAAATGAATGAACATCACTTGGCTAATGGGATTCTCTTTGTGGAGGGACCTGTTAGTAGCTCACACAAGCTGAAGTCCATTTAGAAGGTTTAAGAGATTTTTATGTCAGTTTTGCAGCATGTGATGAGGCAACCAACATAATGGTCATCATATTATTGGTAAGGATCAAAATTTAATTTTGGTATACAGTTTTGGTGAACTTAGAAACGGAAACGTTTTGGTAATGTTTCGAAAACAAGATAAAAATAAAGAAAAAATTTAAAAATTTGTTTCCAAAACAATGGTCAAAACAATTGAAACATAGGTTGAAATACACCGAAACACCTTAAAACATAAGAATTCGATATTCAATTAATGATTCGTTTCGATTTTTTAAAAAACGAAAGCGTACGATCGTTTTGAAACGAAATTTAATTCTTTGATTGTAGGTAATATCAAATTAGAGTATGGTTCCAAGAGGATTCTATTAGGAAGCACATAGGTGAGTCCCATAAGTATAAAAAATACTGTCTTTTTTTTCATAATGAACTGTCGACACCATTTCTATATTTAATCTCTCTAAACCGAGAAGAAATGGGGCTTAATAAGCAAATTATATTCAACGATCTGCAGAAACTATTAACTCTTAGTATGTAAAGGACAAATAAAAATTTTCCTATCAGCCAAGATTTTGGAAATCTAAACCTCATTCAAAAATTAATGATGTTACCTAATGGGTTTGCTCATACATTTGATTGTTCATACAATTGAACAAAACCATTAGGTAACAGCTCATGGTAGTCTTCACAATTTTCCAGAGCACAAAGTTAGCATGTTTTAACAAAGAAAATAAAATAAAAAAATAAGTGCGACTTACATCGACAGAACTGTAAATTAATTTTTTAAAATAAGATAAAATTATTTTTCACTTGCTTTTTTTAAACATTGCTATTGACAAAATAAAAACTTGTGCATTGAGTTAGACTTTTTATACATTGGAATTTTCTCTTTTAGTGTGAAAATTTTCATTCTCATTAAAACTTGTGAAATTCAGAAAAATTGATCCAAAATTCTTGTAATTTCAATTTTTTGGGTTTGATTTAACAAATTCCCAGAACTCTAAGTCTAATATCCATTATTCCCATGTTGAAAATCAAAGATGAAATGGTTCCAAAAAAAACAACAATATTTCAAAGATTTTAAAAATTTGTTCTTGGCCCCTTGAAAAATCTGCATTAAACCCACAGGGGTAGTTTAGTAGTATTAGGTAAGCTCGGAGAGAAATCGTAAACTCTGATATCTTGAATTCAATTGTCACCGGTGACTCTTGAGTCAATAATTATAAATATTTCTGAATATCTTGAAAATCCAAGTCTAACGTAATCTTGCCTCGAACAATTTTCGATCGTAAAGTCAAAAAATCTACCGTAAATCAATTAACAAATTTATACAAGTGGTCCCACTCACCAGAGTTAAACACTGACCAGAGTTAAATATTGACCATAGTCAGGTTATATTGCTAACAAAAAACTTCAAATACGAGGGAAGGAAACACATGCTACTTTTTATTTACTTGGTATAGTTTTCCAATTAATTTTCCAAGATTTGGAAATTCTGAATTCTGTTGTGGGGTTTGTGGGATTTTATTTTTTCAAAAGATTTTCTTCGGTCGGAAATTCTGGATCTTGTTGACAAAGAAGCGGGAAAAACAAAAAATTTCAGAGGAAATCGGGTAATTATAGCATTTCTTTGCAAATCTATGTTTAGATCCATATTGAATTTGTTATCTATGTGGAATATAATCTTTGTAGAGCTTTTGATGATTAATTATCTGCTGATTAGATGGAGCGTTTTAGGGTTTAGTTGAATCAACTCGGATGTACTGAATTTAATTAGTTTGTATATGAATAACTTCCATAGATATCTGGTTTATGGGTCTGAATTGTTTCATTCAATCTGAGCAGTGGATTCATTTTCCTTTTTGTTCTGTTCTTTAATATTGGATTGGGCTCTCTGCTTACTGCTTTTCATGACATTTTGCAGCATCTGTTTTTACTGAGGTTAATTTGAAGTAATGATTACTGAAAATTTTTTGTGAGTAGGTGATATGAACTAGGGCATTTTGTTTCATTTGTTCAGTTGGTGTCTGTTATAACCATTGGTAATTAGTATGAATGAAGATGACTCTTGGTGATTTTAGAATTATGGATGTTGTGCCTATTGGGTTTAGGTTTTTTTTTTTTTCTTTTCAAAAGTTTGTTATGCGGTTTGGTTTTTCAAATATTTGTTATGTTCGTTGGTTTGTTTACATAATCACCTTTTTGGTTTTTAGGGTTTGATTTTTCAAATATCCGTTATGCTTGTTGGGTTGTCTACATAATCGCCTTTTTGGATATTTAGAGTTTGGTTTTTCAAATATTCGTTCTGTTCGTTGGTTTGTTTACATGATCGCCTTATTGGTTTTTTAGGATGCTCATTAAAAATTTTTAAGACGGTATTGCAGTTTTGGAATTTTCGAGTAAGAGGATGCTTTCATTTGTCTTGCCAGATTAAATATTATGGTTATCATTAATTTCCTAGTTGTAAAGCATGAATATTTCCTTCCTTTGTTGGGTCTGTATTTCCTCCTTTTGCTAAAGTTGTTATTCTTATTTTGGATCCATTATTTTGGTGTACTAGGGGTTGCACGGCCGAAGATATTTACTTTCTAATGCAAGCAAGAAAACTGGCTTTGTAGAATTAGACTTCTTGTTGATGTTGTGGTGACCCTTAATTATAAAGGAGGAACAGGAGGAAGAAACTGCAAGTGGTTTGCTTGGAGTGAGTGCAAAGCATTTCAGGGATGGAGTGTAATAAGGATGAGGCCATTAGAGCCAAAGGAATTGCGGAGAAGAAGTTGATGGAGAAAGACATTGCAGGTGCAAAAAATTTGCTTCTAAGGCACAAAACTTGTTTCCTGGGCTTGGGGGTCTTTCTCAATTCCTGGAGATGCTTGAAGTGTATATTTCTGCTGAGAAAAGGGTAAATGGAGAAGTAGACTGGTATGCAGTCCTTGATGTGAACCCCTTGGCTGATGATGAAACCTTAAGGAAACATTACAGGAAGCTTGCTCTTGCTCTTCATCCTGACAAAAATAAGTCAGTCGGGGCAGATGGAGCATTTAAAATTGTCTCTGAAGCATGGAGTTTGTTGTCTGATAAAGCTAAGAGAAAGGCATATGACCAGAGGCGAAATTTAAAGGCTAGTTATCAAAATGTTACAAGTGGGAATCCATCAATGCCAGCTCGTAAAAATGATTTCCATGCTCCTACCAATAACAATAACTCCAATGCAAGAAATAAAAAAAGATCCACCAATCCCCATCCCACTCCAACTCCTCCTCGTTCATCAAAACCTAATACATTCTGGACTTCATGCAATCGATGTATGATGCAGTTCGAATACTTAAAAATTTACCTTAACCAAAAGCTTCTCTGCCCTAGTTGTCATGAGCCTTTTTTGGCTGTCGAGTTACCTGCCCCACCGACAAATGCTCATAATACATCCACTTCATGGCATTCTTTCCAGCAGCAGCAAAATGCAAACGGGCATACTGCCAACATTTCCTCATCGGCTCGCGTTGGATCAGTCACTGGTGTGGATATTCTGCAGGCTCCATTCTCTGAATCAGGCAGTCTCAGAAGTGGCTCAGCATCAACTACTTCGGCTGCTCGAGCTCCACATGTGGTTCAGCCAGCTTGTGCAAATTTGAAGAGACAGCATGAAGAAACTATGGTTGAGGAGGTCCTTCAGAGGCAAAAAAATGGCTATAATAAAGCAGTTTCTAGTTTAACTTCTAATGCTGGTTCTGGTGCTGGAAAAGGAGGTAGGTTGATGAAAAAGAGACGTGTTGATGAACATAGGTGGAATAGTGACAAAAAAGAGACAACGAATCCAATGGAAATGGGGAATGGAGCAGGTAGCCAGGGAATTGTATCTGAATATCAGAAAGGTTGTTTGGGGGCAGAAAGGGTTGGTGTCTCTGGAAGTAATAAGCCTAAAATTATGAGGGAACTGCCACAGCTAGAAGTTCGCACCATGCTGATGGCAAAAGCTAGGATGGAAATTCACAAGAAGCTGAATGAATGGAGCATGAATGTGCTGTCAAAGTATCCACATAAAGGTGGGAGGGAGATGGAAAATCAGAAGCCGAGAGCTGGTGTAAGTGGTGTACAAAAAGCCACTATAAATGGTTTGAAGAAGGGTGGAAATAGTGCATGTGTGCAAGCCAAGAATCCACTCCAGCCCAAAAAGTTTTGCCAATCCACTGCTAAGGTTGATTCTGATGCAAAGGTAACTAATCTCATGTTGATGACGGTCCCAGATCCGGATTTTCATGATTTTGACAAGGATAGGACAGAAAAGTCATTTGGCGAAAACCAGGTCTGGGCTGCTTATGATAATGATGACGGGATGCCTCGCTATTATGCTCTGGTTCATTGTGTGATATCAAAAAGGCCATTCAAGATGCGGATCAGTTGGCTGAACTCCAAAAGCAACTCTGAACTAGGCCCACTAAATTGGGTTGGTTCTGGCTATTTGAAGACTAGTGGAGATTTCAGGGTAGGGAAGCATGAAGTCAATACGTCGCTCAATTCTTTCTCACACATGGTTAAGTGGACGAAAGGGGCGAAAGGGGCGATCCAAATTTTTCCCAGAAAGGGGGACATTTGGGCTTTGTATAGAAATTGGTCCCCTGATTGGAACGAACTTACCCCCAATGAAGTGATTCACAAATATGATATGGTAGAAGTGCTTGAAGATTATAGTGACGAGCTAGGTGTGACAGTTGTTCCTTTAGTTAAAGTTGCTGGCTTCAAATCAGTTTTTCACCAGCATATGGATCCACAACAAATCTGGGCAATTCCAAGAGAAGAGATTTTTAGATTCTCTCATCAGGTCCCTTCATGCCTGCTTACTGGTCAAGAAGCTGAAAACGCTCCCAAGGGTTGCAGGGAGCTTGATCCTGCAGCTATGGCTTTGGACCTTCTTCAGGTAATAACAGAAGCTAAGGAGGAGGACACGGTGGAGGATGCTGGAAAAGCTAAAAAATCAGTAGGGTTGGAGAGTGACAGGAAGGTCTATAGGGCAGAGAATGACTGTAAAGGAAAGGAGAAAAGGATATATAGATATGGCAATAATGGTGACCCAGAAGCAGTGGTGAGGAATGCAAAGGAAAAACAGATTGTGGAAGATATCAACAAAGGCAAGCAAAAAACTAGGTTGGCTGGCATTGAATAAACATCAGTTCCAGTTTTAGGACCATATGGTCTTGGCCCAACCAGAAGAATTTTTGGTATTGTTTGATGGCCAAGAAGAGGTAGATAAAAACAAGAAAATTTGAATTTTTTGGCACCCCAAGTGGCCGTAGGTTTTATCTTCTTTTCTTTTTGGTTATCTCGCCAATCAAACAGAGCATTGACGATGTATAACCATATAGAAAATTGATACAGCAGTTCTTCATATGTTGCTTTATAGTTTTAAGACCACAAAGATTTCTTTCAAGTAGTGGAAATGTCTTCATGTATGATATCAGCAACATCTGCCACTTCAAGACAGTTTGGAAGGTGAACTTACATGGCTTGCATTGTTCGTGGAGCGTAACAGCTCGACTTCTGTTTAGTTTTTGCTGCCCTGTAAGAACGATTTTTACTGGTCTCCTTCTTAGGTTCCTTTCATGTATACAAGCAAAAGTCAATTTTTTTTTGAAATAGGCAAATTAATGTAGCCAGGCCTTTTGACATGCCTTATAATGCCATACTTGATTTGTTCTTCATGTTAAACTTGAAGTTTCAGCTTCTACTAATCTTTTCAGTATGAAATATATGTTGCTTGAATATATTCATCTGTCAGTTTTCTTCTTGAATCACACCTGTTGATTGTTTTAGAAACTGGTCTTCTTACCCTGTCGATTTGATTTGTTGTTCTTTATTTGTTATATTTTTGCCTTTTTGTTAGTGATCTGTTTTGTTGCCAGCATTGCTTCATTTTAAATGGTTCTGAGACTGTCCGACAAAGGGAGTTTTGAAGTTTCAAACTGGCCATATAGCATTAAAATCTCAGTGACAAACTGCGTAGATTATGACAGCCACTCAAAATTTTTGCCTCATGGAAGAATCTCAATTTCAAAATCACCACCGTTGCTGGTCTCCATGCACCTGAATATTGAGCATTTTATAGGAGAGAGTAGTAAGCTATGAATCGTGATAGAGAAAGTTCTCTTCGCTATATTTAGTTCATAAACATACACAGGATAATGACGGTAAGAAATCGACAAGCACCATTTACACCCTTCAAGACACTTTCACATTAACAATCTATGTGCCTTGTATTTACACTTGGATCTCTTACAGATTATCTTTGCACTTTTTAGTTGACACCATTAATGATCAATCATTTGTCTCCTAATTTCATCTGGTATCAGGTGAACTGGTTAGAATGTGAAAGTTTGCCAGCCTGTTTCGAAATTGCTGGGTATGCTGGAAACCATGATTTGCGGTAAGTCTTCCTCTAACGAGCATGTGTTTTTAGGACACAATTGTTTATGTGTTGCTTTTGTTTCATGCACATGTCCTCAATATGAGTGTACACATGCATGTCAGTACCACTAAAATTAGAGAAGAAAGTACAGTGATTAGATTAAGTGCCAACAATATGGTTTGTATTTCCAATTCTATACAAAGTCATTGGAATTACTTAAAGCAAGCATGACATGTAGCCACTAGCCAGCACATGAGGATAACATCATATGGCCTTGCATGGTTGTATTGCTGGATGTTAGTATTTCATATTACTGTGCAAGGCGATGACTTATGGTTATGTTATTAGAAAATCGTATATGATGGATGCATGTATCCATACACGATGAATGCCTGCAAGTTTTCGTGTGTGCATGCCTGCTTGTGCTACCTTGATTTAAATGAAAATTTGTAGAAACTTTATATTTACCTTCTAGGGATAAACTAAGAAAGTCTTTCATAGTACCATGCAAAAGGGATGACTGATGATTCTAATCTTGGAAAATCATATATGCGCTTTTTTTTTTTCGTGTTCAAAAAATCATATACGATGGATGCATGTATCCATGCCTGATGAACGCATGCATCGTGTGTTTGTGCATGGACCTGTGTATGTTATATTGGAAGTTCTCTCCTGTGATAAATAATAAAACGTCCTGATCTTGTTTTTGGTGGTGTTGCCCTATTGACATTTCGTGCTCATTTCCAAATTTCTGTTTTGTTATTCCCAGTAACCACGGGATGATCCACAAGAAAGGTGGTAGGATTCGAACCTATGGCTGGACTGCGCCTTGACCTGTTAGGTTGGGTGGCCGGGTTACAGAAATTGTAACCTCCTGCTGTAGTCAGCCTCACAGTGTGAGTGCCTGCCGTCTCAATGACTTTCCCTTTTTCGGGCTGTTCCTCAAGCCTTCAAGTGCCGATCTTTGCTTGGCCGGCTCTGAGGCTCAAACCTAGCTTTGTTAACTTTCATGGTTCATCGAATGATGAATCTTGCCACACCCTGGTTAGCCTGTGTGGTATGACCATGTCTGTGTATGGTTTTCCATGTAGCAGGTTCAGGTTCGACCCACTTTCGGGGACCACTGGAGTGTGGGTTGAGTGAAGTGGAGCTATGAATCTTGGGAAGGTATATTTTTTTTTAATTCTTTGGATATACTAACACAAGTCAGTAGATGTTACATTTGCATTCAACCCTGAAGTAAATCCTTAATAATGTTTAAAGTTGCCTTCTAGTCATTAGTTCTTGAAGATTTAGTATCAAGAATCAGAGTTCAAATTCTAAATGACAAGGGGGTGATGTGTATTTAATTCAACAAAATATAATTGATTTCATCACTATTATGCCTAGGAAGAAATTCAGATTTTCCAGGTAAGTAAAGGGTTAATTAAGACGAGTTTTACTTGGCTCGAGCTCGATTTGTGTTTTAAACGAGTTGTTTTGAACAATTTTATAGATTTGTCTTTATTTGAATTCGTAAAATTTGACTTGTTTATATGTAAAATAGTCGAGTTATTCGGACTCGGGTCGGATTCTAAACTTGGTTTATTTTTTAAACAAGTCAAGTTTAAATAATTTTTTAGGCTCATTTTGAAAAGTGAACTTAATAGATTTGGATTCAAAATCACAAAGTTCGGCTCGATTAACACCCTTATCGATAAAAACGATTTTGCACAATAAATTTGAATTATATTTTAAATGCTTGAGTGGATAAATTGGCTTGGGTTATAGAATAGTTTAAATTGTACAGCATTATGGTTCAATTGAAAGCTAATTGAAGGACATTGCACACGCTAGATCGCATAGAGTGGGGGCGGGAGGAAGAGTGAGAGTATAAAAATGATAAAATTAAAAAAAATTAAATTAAAACAAGTGTTTGGAGAATATCATATTTAATAAATATATACGTATATAAAAGGTAATAAAGATATAATTTAAAAATTAGATATCATGCATAAATATGGTCAAACTAGTTAATTTTTAAGTAGTTTTTGATTATTACGTACAAAACTGGCAAGCTTAACTGGTCAAAAAAATAAACTGATCAATTCATAAAGAATTCGATCTCAAAGCACAATAGACTCCCAAGAGCACAACCTATTGTGCACAAACTGTGTATAGTAAATTTGAGTCATGTGTATGGTTTTATTTTTTGGGGGTGTATTATTGTTATTTTTTCAAAATTTTGGGTATATAATGTGATATTTTTAGTTTGAAGTGAAATTCTTATTTTAAAATTTATTTCATGGCCAAACTGCCATTAGGGAAAAAAAAAACCTTGTCGTATGAGAATCTGTGCACCGGTCTCTCTCTCTCTCTCTTGTACGGCTCCGTTTAGATAGAACTTGTTTGAGTTCGAGTTTTAAATGAATGTGAACAATTTTTAAGATTTATAAAGGTTCAACTCAAATTTGTAAAATTTAATTCGTTTATATGTAAAATAGTTAAACTTATGCTTGACTCGAATTTGTTTTGTTTCGGGATGAACTAATTTTTTAAAAGAGTCGAATTTAAATAATATTTTAAAATCATTTAAAAAGACATGCTCAACACAAATTTTCAAACTCAATTATCAATCCTTTTTCTAGTTTCTCCATCCATACATTCAATTTTACCTAATTAATTACAATTTTTTACTTATATTATTCCCTCAACTATTATATTTTTTTTTATTTTGCGCTCATAATTATTTGATTAGTTTCACATCACATAAATTATCAAAGTTCATTACAAATTTAACAAAAAAATTATTTTATTTTATTTTGTCCTCCAAGTTATATTATTTTTTCACTTTACTCTAATACGTTTACAATTTTTACACTTGGGACAATATCAAATAATTAAGGGGATAAAATAAAAAATGAAATAGTTTAATGGGGCAAAAGTAAAATCAAATAATAGTTTAGGGGGTCAAAATATATTTTGCCCTTCGTTTTCCCAGTTTCCATCGAAACAAGCAACCCTACCTTTTCTCTCCCATTTCGCAGAAAGCTCCAACCAAGAGAGCACCATGGAGAACAACCCCCAACTACCACCACCACAATCCGCCACATATCCACCGCAACCACCACCGCCACAGTCCACCACATATCCACCGCAAGCACCACCGCCTCAGTCCGCCACATATCCACCGCAACCACCGTACCACCACCTCCAACAACAACAGCAACTCCAACAGTTTTGGACCTACCAACGCCAAGAGATCGAACAAGCCAACGACTTCAAGAACCACCACCTCCCCTTAGCCCGCATCAAGAAGATCATGAAAGCCGACGAAGACGTCCGTATGATCTCCGCCGAGGCACCCATCGTATTCGCCAAAGCCTGCGAGCTCTTCATCCTCGAACTCACAATCCGTTCATGGCTTCATGCCGAGGAGAACAAGCGACGAACGCTTCAGAAGAACGATATCGCCGCCGCGATTACGAGGACCGATATATTTGATTTTCTGGTGGACATTGTGCCGAGGGATGAGATCAGGGATGAGGCGGGGCTTGGAGGGTTGGTGGGTCCCACTGCCAGTGGGGTTCCTTTCTATTATCCTCCGGCGAGTGTTATGATGGGAAGGCCGGCGGTGGCCGGTGTCGATCCGGGGGTTTACATGCAGCCGCCGCCGTCGCAGGCGTGGCAGTCAGTGTGGCAGACGGCTGAGGATGGGTCGTACGGCAATGGAGGCGGCAGTGGGCAGGATAACCTCGATGGACAAGGGTATGTGTTTTCATTTGACATCTCTTTATCTTTCTTGGGTTTTGACAGATCTGATCAGTGAGGGTTTGTTATGATAACGTTGAGCTTATATTTGCTAAAAATGTGTTTTTGTTTTCGATTTTGAACTGGAAGATGTTATCTTTTCCTCATTTGGTAGCCTATACTGGTTGATTTATCTTTTCCTGATGATTTCAGTGACCACTGTTCTATTATTGAATCATTACAAATTTGCTTTTTTAGAGTTTTTCATGGTGTACATTTTGTGAAGGGGCTATTTTGATCTTATTTTCAGGTTTTACGTAAGGTTTTAGGTAAAGTTGATTCTTGTGTTGCTCATGTACATGCTCCAGATTGTGAATTTTTGGTTGTTTCTAGGCTATGATTAAAACCTGGTGCATTAAATTTCTTGAAATATAGGACAATGGACTCTCGCCCTTGGACTTTGATCGGATGAGAAATTTGACAACTTGGTGGTTTGAGAAGAGTGAAGCAATCTTTAGAGTGCATTTTATGGACGCCAGGGCATTGGTTCAATTTGGTTGCACAGAGCAGTGCAATAGATTACGTTTTGGGATGGAGAAAACATGTGATCATTTTCAGAGTAGAGTTTTACTGTGGTTAGGGAGTAATCTGGAACATTTATATGAAGTGATTGGTTCCAACTGTTTTTTTTTTCTGAATTGGCAAATAGGATACCAAGGATATTGGCTTATTGTCTCTGTGGGTGTTTGCTGACAATCTCTTGATTGATTGTAAGAACACAGATTGATGGCTTCTTGTAAGATTTTATGGTTAGCAGTTGCTAAAAATGTAAAGTGTATCCCATTATACTGTTAGGGATATACTGAAGAGGGTTCGGCGTGGAAATCATTCTGCTTATAGAAGTGGAAAGGATTTTTCGAATCTTATTCAGTAGTGGTACTTCAGATCGATCACAGAGCTGCGGCCCCGTCATTTGGGTTTGTGTCGGTTGGAGTTCTTGTTAGTAGAGTGGCAAAGGTGTGCATTCCAGCATGGTGAATCTATCTTTTTGTCCTTTTCTTGTCTTCCTTGGATGAGGGGCATTGAGACACTATGGTATCAAGGGTACAGGTCTCAAATCTGTCCTTTTTTCCCACCAAAATGTGCGGCATATAGGGTTTTGGTCTTCTGACATTGATTTCTCCAGCAAACTTATAATTTATATCCATGCACTTGGTCAATTTGTTGTTGGCATGCTTGAATCCTGGTTGATTTCTTGAGAGAAAAATGGCAATAAGACCAAAGGCACCACATTTATGTTTAGAATTTGGAAAAAAAAAAAAAAAGGAATTCCTTGTTCACAGGTGCAATTGAGTTTATTAGTCACTTAATATGGAAGCCTTCTTTTTTGCTCTGAGAGCTGACATTGAACCATGAGATAGTTTTGACCTTTAACCTATTTAAATGTTGCTTTATGGCATACGCCTATGGCATTTGCCAATTACAGAATTAGCTGTTGCATTCACTCTATGGTGATATGATCTATGATCAACTTCAACTGAACATCCTTATTAGATGTTCCAACTTCCAAATCTGTATCATATTCCATAGAAGATGAGGTATTCCAATGGTAACTATCAGAATCACTGTCAATCTCTTACTCTATTGTATTCCATATAATGCAAGAAAACATTTTAGGTCATAAGTGGAAAATTGCATGTATTCTTGGTTCACAAGGTAGAAATCATGTTGGTTGTTTTGAATCTCAAAGTATATCCAGTATCAATTTGGATTGGACAATTCCTGATAAACATTCTTATGATGTTATGTATACAAGTTTAAATTCCAGTCGGTGCTGAGCTTTCACCCTGTATATATTGCACAATTTGTTTGTTTTTTATATATATATATTTCTACTTATAAAAACCATATTCTGAAGCATTTTGACTTTAATATGCTTGTTGGAGTCTGCTTTAATGTTTCAGAGACCTTCATCAGATGTTTTCATATTTTGCAGTTTCGTTTTCATGACTGTTTTTTTACCTGCAATGAATAGAAGGGAGTTAACCAGTTGAGGGTGCCTCAATTGTTTTTGCAATTGTCTGGGGTGACATTGATCTTTACCCTAAAGTAATAACCACTTGGGAGGAATATGATAATATGATGATGGAGAAAGGTAATATGATTTGAAGTTCACGAATGATTACAGCAATGGGGTTCCAACTTCCAAGTCTAGTAAAAAACTGTAGAACTTAGTGAGATATTCTTATGAAATTTCTTGTTTTTGTTTTGGAGAAGCAATTCTCATGACTTAAACATATGGAAAGTTGCCTTGCTAATAATATAGATTTAGGTATTTTACTGTAAAAAAATTGGCTTAGTGTAAAATCAGAAGATGAGAGTATTAACTTTGCTTCACCCCTATTTTTTTGCAGTTGAACAATTCATTTGCAGATTGAAGCTGAGTAGCACAATAGAACCTACTGAGCTTGCTGTTGCTGCAAGGAATTTTGCTTACTTTTAAATGTCAATTGCGCCCAACGGCTATTACCTGTGGACTGGCGTTTACTGTAATAACTTTTTGCTGTTAGAAACCTATATGAAAACTGTGCAGTTATAAAGTGCTTCTAAGATATGTCTAATTAATGCAGTTCCAAAATAGTCCCATATGTTGCTGAGCGGAAGGATTCTCATAGAAATTGTTAATGGTATTGTTCATTTAATTGTTGATCATCTTGGGGTTTATGAATATCTGCTTTCAAAGAACTTTTCTGGAGACTGCAATTGATATGCCTGATGAAAGCACTTAATCCAGCAGCCTCTATAGCCTAGAGCATCAAAACTTCGTATCGTGAAATCTATGTATATGTAAACCAATTGCAGACGAACATGCACACATGCTGTAGCAGGTGACGATGGTGCAAGGGGAGTTTAAATTTTGAAGAAGATATCTATGGGGGGACTTAGAGTATGTTTAAGATCACCAGGTTTGTGTTCTTTTAAGGAACTTATTTGATGTATTCTATTATCCAGATGACTTTTGTAGAGTGTGTGTAAATTTACTTCAATGTTTTTGTCCTTGCTTTCCTCTTTAATTAATGTTTTTTTTTTTTTAAAAAAAAAAAGCCCAAACTACGGACAATCTCAAGGTGTCTTGCGGGGACAAAGTCTGCGGTGCAGGGAAAAATATTTCAGTATTAAAATTTATTACTTACTTTTGTGAGTATTTTTGCGTTTTACTACAGTTATGGTCCTGACAAAAATAAATAAATAAAATGGGAAAGTAAAACCTGTACTTGTTAGTAGAGTGGCAAAGGTATGCAGGCCACAAGGGATTCACTCATCTCTTAGATGTTGAGCATTTGTGTTTTGTTGTAATTTTTAAGTTTTATTTAAGTTGTGTAATGTTTTTCTAAATGAAAATAGGGATAAATTATACTTTATCAACTTGAATTGTTATCCTTGTTTTATTTTGCACCTTAAACTATAAAATTTATCACATTGTATCTTAAAATATTAATTTTATTTCATATCACTCTAATTGATAACGAATATCAATTTTTTGACGTTAAACGCACGTGTAAGTAATTTATACTATCAATAAGTGACGGTTTATTGCACATGTGCATGTCAAAAATCAAGAAAGATATTTATCCATGACTTTGTCCTTCTTAAAATTTAAATTTTTTTTCTTTAACTGATTTTCTTTTTCTTCTCAGTAACTATTTGGTTACAAAAGAGGTAAAATAAAGTAATATTATATATTTATATATTAGAGTGATATGAAATAAAATTGATACTACTTTGGGGTGCAATGTAGAAATTTTATAATTAAGGGTACAAAATAAAACAAAGGGAATAATTTAGGGAGTATAGTGTAATTTACTCTAAAAATAGTCCAACGTTTTCTTTATAGCGCGTTTTTTATGTCTTTATCATTCCGGTTATAATATTTGAAAGTAATACCAACTTAAATGCTACACTGTACATAAATGAAAGTAGGACCTCAATTTTATTGTGGGGAAAAAAAAAAGGTAAATTTATAATATTGACCTTTCAAGTCTCTAATAATCTAAACTAGATAGAGGGTATTTAAGTCTATTATTAATTACAATAATTACTTTTATATGTGACCTACATAAATTACAAAACTCACAAGTCAAACATGATATAAAATTGAAAAAGAGATTAAATTATGCCTTCTATACTAATAAGGTTAGAGAGAGTTAAAAGAGGAGAAATTGTGAAAATGTACACTTTATTCTACTTATTTGTGTAAAAGTATTTAAATATAAAATATTTGTGTATAAGTACCTTTATGTGTAAATATTTGGTGAAGAGGTACACGTTTGCTGAGTTGTAATTTTTTCTCTTACGAAATTACATTTTTCCTTTATTAGTGGGAGACAAATATGACAGTTATATTAAGGATTCAGTTTCCTAAATTTATGGAATATCATTTTTGAATTTTAAATTACATCTTTTTCTTTCATTCAACTTAAGTTATTTAAACTTTCATTTTTATTCAAACATTGATGTCTTTTTCATATTTGTTTAATTTTTTTTTTTTATAAATCACAATAATCAAGATGATGATTCTGATTCGGATGATGATTTGCTGCCTCGCACGATAATGTTACAATGCTACAAGACAATGTCACACTGCTACAAATCAAATTCACATTGCTACAAGTTGTCCATATGTTTTTTTTTTTAAATTATTACGGTTTCTTAATGTCAATTACGTTCGTGTGAGGATAAATGTCAATGATGATGACTCAAATGAGAATGATCGTAATAATCAAGATGATGATCCTGATTCGGAGGATGATTTACTGCTTTACACGATAATGTCACAGTGCTACAAAACAATATTACAATAGTACTAAAAAATACCACAGTGTTACAAACCAAATTCACACTACTAGAAACTAATATCACATTATTGCAAGTCAGTGTCACGTTGCATATATTGACATGACGCATATCACAATATATATAGCCTCTTTGGGTTTTTTTTTTGGCAAATGATCGAACACTTGATGTGCATGTAATACCAAACACTAGAAGTAGAAAGGTAATTATGGGAAAAAAAGTAAATAAAATAAAAAATATTGGAAAAAACAACATTTTTCTTGAGTTATCAACTTCTTTTCCAAAAAATTCAACCACTCTCATTCTTCTCTATCCTTCTGCTACAGCTACTTTCATTTTCTAAATTGTTCTCACCCAGATGGACCCTTTACTGAAACCACTTTGCCCTTTAATGTAACCAAGAGATGTTAATGAATCAAATTTTAATCCATATCTAAAATCGTGTGACTGAGTTGATTCTTCGTTACTAAAAAAATTTATAACCACTCTCATCCTTCTCCATTCTTCTGCTACAAAGATAAAAATTTGGATAGTAAAGTTTTGAAAAGATCATTTCTTCAATAACAATTAACAGAACATTTTGAACATCCAAAATGAGATTTTATCGAAGTTTTTGGAAGAATTGAGTTTTCAACGATATTGAAGGAATTTATGTGTAACTGTTGAGATCCCTTAAATTTCGGTTGTAGAAGTAAAAATATAGGAATCGCCCGTTCTACTGAAGAGGGTATTTTAGAGATTTGTTAAGGATCATTTATTTTTTGACTTATATTTTTAAAAGTAATATTTTTTGCCTTATAATTTTTAAAAGGGTACCGGCCCTTAAAACCCTTAAAAAGAAGACTCCGATTCCTTGCATCCTTCTCCCAAGAAAAACTAAAGCCCATCCTATGGCCCGATGGGCTCCAGAAAAAGTCTTCCCAGGCAAATTCGCCTACCTTTATGGGTATTTTTGTCATTCCACGATCTATCGTCCAATTTTGACTTCAACCAATTTCTCCCGTGCCGTACCACCATAGCGGATTGATCCATTTATACGACGCGGTATTAAAGGTAACCCACGGTACGTTACTCTCTCTGTATCACTTTTCCGTTTGATTTCTCTCCGAATCTCCTGATTTTCAATTCATCACTGCTTCTCTTTCCCTCTTACTCTCAGATCCGACCTAGGGTTTCTGAAATCTTTGAGTAATATTATTTTTGCCAGAGAACTGGAAGTCATGGACTCAGTCATCGATCCATTGAGAGAATTCGCCAAGGACAGCGTTCGCCTCGTCAAAAGGTGCCACAAGCCTGATCGCAAAGGTGTTTCCCGATGTGTACCCTTATGTTTGTGTTTCTTTGTGTCTGTGTGGTTGATTGTGCGTGTGAGATTGTGAACGCGCTTGTTGTGTTTCTGTTTATTTTGTTTGAATTGAGGTTTCAGAATATTAGCTTGATCTCTGGTTTGCGTTTGATGTGGTGGTGTAGAATTTTCAAAGGTCGCGATCCGTACTGCGATCGGCTTCGTCGTGATGGGATTCGTTGGTTTTTTCGTGAAGTTGATCTTCATTCCTATCAACAACATCATCGTTGGTGCTTCTTAGGTAATGTATTTATTTTGTGCAAAATCACTGCCTTGGAATATATTAAAGTGGCGTTGCATATCCATTTGAGGATTTTCGTTTCTTTTCTTATTGCAGTGTTTTGTGTAAATTGATGGAACATGTGAATGATGATGGGGTATTTGATCTAGTTCTTAAGGGGTTTGTTCTTATTTCGATTCTTTATAATTTGGTTACCATATATTTCCATCACTGGTTAATGAGGTTTACTTTACAGAATGAGATATTCATTTACATGGATGTGAAACGTAGTTTGTAAGTCAAACTATTTATTTCTCTTAAAATAATAGCATAAAGGATGGAAAAGACTTTGTGTCAGCCAATAAGGCATCATGGTATTGGTAGCAGAAGAGTATATTCACTTCATGGCCCACATTAATTGTTCAAAGGGAAAGGAAAACAGAAAAAATAGTGTTGTAATAAGGGGGATCCAAGATTTCTCAGTTTGGGGGGAGGGGGAATCTAAAACTCATTAATATATTGCTAACATTGATTTTTTTAAGTATTAACCCTTAATATTTAAAAAAAAAATGATATTTCATTAAAATAATGCACATTGGAGATGCAGCCCGTATGCATGAATGATGTGTAAAAATGGAGCCAACAAAAAAAAGCTCACATAATCATGGGTGATAAAGAGAGCACTAACCTAGCTAAGTTGTGGAGACGAGAATGACAATAATGAAAACCTACGATAAGCCTTCAATGGGATCGTAGTAGAAACAAAAACATGTGACATGATTTGAAAGTATCAAAGCCCTTAATGTCCTCCTCATCCTCCAAAGGGTTTTTTTTTTTATCGAAGTGAGTCACAACGCTGCAATAATTATATAGCAGAGATATGAGTCAATAATGTATAATAAAGCTTGCTTCAAGAGTAACACTTTGGATTTGGTGCAGTGGTTAATTTCTTTAGGCTCTTGCATTGTGATAGTCATTACATCCTGGTTTTGTCTGTGGCCTTTTAACAAACAGTTAATAGGCAAACAATGGTTTGCAAAACAAATAATTACTTTTTCTCATAGATATAAATCATATAATACTTTTACTAGAAGTAAAATCTTCTAGGCTCCCATCCAGGGTGGGTTTGCGTGATGATTGGCCTGAATAGTGAACAATCAGTAAGAGACACAAGCACAAAGATGGTTATATCTTGTGAGATTCTCTTAGGAGGATTGGTTCGGCTCTTGATTAGTCAAAGAGGAAGAGACCCGTACAGAGTTGTGAGTCGTAATTTTATCATGTAAATTTTGATTTCTTAAGGTTAAGGAAGAATTTTCTAAAATGTCAAGCCAACGCCAAATGTTTTACAAACTTTTGATGCAAGCAAATTTAAAAAAAATTTAACTAGGTCCCAAACGTTTTCCGAATTGCGGCGGGGGACAGCTAACTTTTTCAGAATTGCAGGCTGCTCCCACTGCAAATCCAGCCCTGGTTGTAATTCTGTATACTTCTTCTTTCCAAGATAAATGTTTGGAATGGGTGGAAAATAATGGTAGGTTATCTTTCAAAACAAAAATGATAATGACTTTGTGTTCGGTCGTAGGTCAGTGTTTTACATGACCCAAAATTTAATACCTTTTTATAAGATGCCACGTAAGGATGGCCAAAAGAATTAAAAAGATGATGAGATTTCCTTTGGGAAGGTAGTGGGGAATGGAAGAGGGATCATTTGGTTAGCTGGGATTTTGTTTCCAATATAGAAATAAGGGCAGTCTTGGTGTTGGGAACCTAACTTCCAGATATTTGCCCCACATGGGCAAATGATTATAAAGGTTCCTTATGGAAGAAAATTCGCTCTGGCATATTGTAATCAAGATAAAATGTGGTGTACTGCAAGGTAATAAATGAGATTCCTAATATTGTTGAGAGTGATTCTTTGTTGCGTGAATGGAAATTTATAAATTAGGGTTTACCTTGTTCAATATATTAAAATAATGATGGGAAATGGGGAGTGTGTTTGATTTTGGGAGGACGTTTGGATAGGGGATTCTTTTTCATTGGCTTTTCCTCGTATCTATCGGTTAGCAAAGACACATAGTGTTTCAATTGCTCATATAGTTTTGTCTCTTTCCTCTTTAATTGATTGGACTCTTAGCTTTTCTATGAATCTTAATGATAGGGAATTTCTTGAATTGTGTTCTTTATTTTCTTTGTTAAATGATTTCTCCTTTAATCCCGTGTCTGTTGATAGAAGAAGCTAGGTTGTGGATCCTTTTGAGATATTCACTTGTAAATCGTTGGTTGAGTTTTTGATTGACAATCTTACCCTCCCAGTTTCCCCTCAAATTCTGATACTTTGGAAAGCAAAGGTGCCTATTAGAAGACTCCTTTTGAGCTATTCACTTGTAAATCGTTGGTTGAGTCTTTGATTGACAATCTTACCCTCCCAGTTTTCCCTCAAATTCTGATACTTTGGAAAGCAAAGGTGCCTATTAGAAGACTAGTGTGCATGGACAATTGCTCATACAAGGATTAATACTAATGGTTTGCTTCAAAAAGTAGGCCTCATGTTTGTTTACCACCACAATAGAGTTTTGTGTGCCGATGTCTAGGGAACATATTGATCATTTGTTTTTACACTATTCCTTTGCATTGTGATTGTGGTGGAAGCTCTTCCAGTTGGTAGATGTGAGTTGGGTGATTTGTAAGCATAGTGTCTCGCTATTTGTGGAAGACTTCAGGGGTTTAGGAAGGTATAAAAAGTTACCATTCTTTGGAGGTGTGCTACTCTTGTTACCTTTTGGGTTAATTTGGTTGGAGCACAATGCTAGAGTTTTTTATGGCAAGAATGAGATTGATGATTGCTTATGGGATATAGTGCATTTTCTAGCAACCTTGTGGGCATCGGCAACTAGGGAATTTAATATTCTTCATCTCTTTTACATTATGTTGGATTGGAGAGCATTATGTGGCCCACAGGCCTGTGTTGGGTTGGGTTTGGTTTGATTTATTTCTTTTCTTTTCTTTTTGATGTACTCTTTCTTTCTTCCTTGAATGTATTCTTGTTGGGTTGTCTTGTCAACCATGGTATCTTTTTTATGTACTTATTTTTACTAATATTTCTCCCTTGTATTGATCCTTGTTAGATGTCTTATCCGCGTTGGTATCTTTTTTAAGTATCTTTTATACGTACCTTTCTCTGTTTCTAATAATATTTAGTTGCTTATCAAAATAATAATAAAAAATAGTAGTGTTGATGTAGATTGAAGTCTGAGAATTCTGTAGATCTGTGTTATATTTTTCAGAATAAATTACATAAAGACCAATCTGTATATTCCACTCTTTAAAAAAAATAAAAAACTTGTATCTTCCATCATGCTCCGCATGCACACTCAACAGCCCAAAGTTTGCCATATCATGCAAGCCTCCATGTGCCTATTAGAAGACTAGTGTTTCTAGATGCACTGCCCTATAAAATGGAGTACCTTACTGCATGCCTTTTGTATCATGATTTCTCCTATTGTTGAATTACCTTTTTTTGGCGATTAATATGTCATAATTCTGATGGTGTTTGAGGATCCAGTGGCTTGAAACAATTTCGTAATACATCTATTTCTTTTGACAACCTAAACTCCTGGACGGAAAAAACCCCTTTTCACTAAACGGATGTGTGATAGAAAAGGGATTCAACTCTTGATTGGGCGAAACTATGGATACTAGAAAGCAGGAGAACAAATTGTTCCTCCTGGCTGAAACCCAAATTCCTGCAAATTTCCGTCTTATTAGAGAGTAGCAGCAGGGATCTCTCTCTCTCTCTCTCTCTAGATAGAATGATGGGCCTGCTTATATCTTTTTTTGGTAATTCTGGCAATTGAGTTTACTATTCTGTTATGCTTTTCATCAATTTAATGTTTTGATCCATTTTTTTAATCTTGAAAAACAACATTTTGTTGGAAGTTTCGTGATGTACAGGAATCTCAACTCGTTTTGTATGTGTGTGTTAGTTTGATTTACTTACTCGTATTTTCTTAGAATGAGTGACATTAATTTTGGTACAAATTGAGCTCTTACATGTTTCCTCCCCTTCTAATTTACTTTTACGTTGGGACACTTACTATTTACTTGAAGAATAGTTGGGGGATTGTTTAACAGAGCATTAAGCACTTTTTAAAGTTTCGTTATTCGCAAAATTTTATTATAAAATATATGTGCAGATTGACAGACAGACAGATAGGAGGCATGAGGGGATTGACTTACACCTCTCATGTATTGCCTGAAGTTTGGCATTTTTCTCTTACTGTATATATCTCCTACATTAACCCTACCTTTGTTGAGTAGGATGGCTACATAGTTGATGTTATCTTGTTGCATTTGACATTTCTTTTGATAATATTTAGGAGAAAATTTGGTAAAACCAAACCAAATCAAACCAAGCCTTATGTCCCAATCGTTTGGGGTTGGCTATATGAGTCCGTTTGCACCATTCATTTCGGTCATACGCTATACCCTTATTTAAGTTAAATATTTTATGGGAGAAAATTTGGTAATTTGGCTTTTTTTGTTTAAAAATTTACTGCATACTTACCTGAATTGATTCATCACCTCATTGCTTTATTTTCTGGTAAAATTGTCTTCAACTTCTATGACATACACGTATGAAGCATTCTCTCTCCCGTCATAAAATTTTTACAGACGCGATACATAAAATTTTGTTACTTTGTACATACTATATTCTAACTTAGGATTTCTTTGCCTCTAAATGTAAAAAATAATTATTGGTAATTTTTGTGCATTGTTGTATAAAGACCAATTTTGGTTTAGGTAACTTGTTTAACACATTGCTGCCTAATTAAACTTTTGTATTGAATTATGGAATTTATCTACGCATCTGTATAACCCTGACATCATTCATTAAATAAATGCTGGTGCCTTGTTTGGTCCCTTTTATTGTTGGCCCTCACATCCTTAAATGAGTTTTAACATTATTATAGTTCTGTGTTAGGCTCAGCTGTAAAATTGGTTCCCGACTTTCTTCTTTGGGTGGAAGGGGGTGGCGGTTGTGGTTTTTCATTCACTCCCCTAGATGACTGATTGATCAATTTCTTTCTTCTATGCTAGTTTCCTTTTTACTTGCAACATATACTAATGGATATGAACTCAACATGATATCTATTGCATTTGCTATCTGTTTAACTACAAGCTGATGCGAGGAAGACCATTCCCTTTTTGAGTAGGCAAAGACAATTCTCCTTTTGTTGCTGTTTGTTTAACTTTAATTGGCTCAATGGTTACTCGCGAAATTGTTCTGCATTATTGACACTGGAATAATTATGGGACTTACTGAAATATTTATGTTAAATGCAGGCCTTGGGGGAGTTTAAAGTTTTCAAGGTGATGGGAACTCGGAGCAACAATTAGAAGATAGAGAGAAAAGAATGCCAAATTTTTATTTACTTTAATGTTTTTTCTTCTTGGTTTTGGAATTTTCATCAGAGCTTTTGATTAATTAAACACTTATGAATTTCAATTATAGGTTTTTTTTTTTTCTTTCTTGTGTCGGTGTAGTTTGCATAATGTCCATGGCTTTGTTGCCTGTGTCCTGAAATGTTCAATCCTTCGTACTGTAACACACAAAATCAACCCTATTCTAGTTACACCATGAAGTTATCATGCATGTGCATCTTCTATGGTTTGCCCGTTGCTTATCCTTGAACCACAAATTGATATATCATCCAATTTTTTTTTTTTTTTTTGCATTTTCCTCGTTAGTAGATCATTTACCATACCTTAGTGAGTAATAGAATTTACAGTTGATGATCTAGCTAAGAGAAAAATGGTATAAAAAAAAGAATCGGAAGAAATGTCACTTCAGCTGTAGCTGTCTTTGATTGCCAATACGCTCAATCGTATCCTCTGGGGTTGTTGGTATCTTGAGTTCTAGACTCTCATTAAAAGGAAAAGGCAGAAGAGAATAGAAGAGTGTGTGGGAATGAAGACATTTTGTTATTGGTAGTGGGAGACATCCTTTATTTATTGCTCTTTTTTGTCTTTTTCTTTTAACTTTTTTGTGTTGGAGAACCATTTTAATTACACATTTTTTTGGACATATGAATACAATTTAAAATCGAGATGTGCACAATCATTTATAGACCACATGTTTTGATTAATTTAGGATTTTCTTGTTAGATCCATACTTGAGATCTCGTGATAATAATCTTTTGATCCAAATTACTATGAGATAGATAACTGCTGCTTTTCTCCATACAGGTTAATATCTAAAATCTATTCGAGCATGCAACAACTAGAAGCACGAATAGAATGAGGTTCGTTTAGGCTTGCAGGGTGCAACGAGGATGTATAAAGTTTTATATATCACAGACTTAAGATTTCAAACCCGGATTTAAAAAAAAAAAAAAAAAAAACTTATTTATATTTTTATTAAAATCTTACTAGATTTCACTAATCATTCAATCAACATGAATATGTCACCTCGTTTCATTTCATATCTAAAACATGACATTTCATTGAATACTTTATAAAGCGGAAGGGAGGAATAACGCTACAGGTAACAACATCTTGCACAACCCTAATCTAGTAAACTTAATTTATAGTAAATTATACATATAACCCTTAAATTATGACCTTATTAATTAAGTTATTTAACTTTTTTTTTAATTAAATTCTAAAACTCCCTAATCATGTCAATTGAACATTTCTGTTTCTGAATATTAAATTTTCTAACTAAAAGTGATGGCATAAATAGTTAGAATAAATTATATTTATGATCCTTAAATTATAATTATTATATTAATTAAGTTCTTATTTTTTTTATATCAATTAAAACCCTAAACTCTTTGATTCTTTCAATTGAGCCTTCTAGTTATTTTGTGTAATATAGTCACGTGAGTGACATATTTTAACGGAGGCATAAAGAAAGGTCCAGTTGACATAATTAGAGAATTTAGGAAATTAATTGACACAAAAAAAAATTTAAGAACTTAATTGATATAAAAGTCATAGTTTAAGGGTCATGTGTGTAATTTATTCCTTAATCAATCTTGACTTGTAATAAGGCTCAGCCGCCACCACTACCATACGTATCTCCTTCTCTAGCTAGCCAGAGCCTCCCCATTATTCGTCTCTGCATTCTTCCTTCAACAATGGCGGCCACTGCTTCCGTTGCAGCCTCCATTTCCAAATCTTTATTTCTCTATCCTTCGTCCAATTCCTCAGTACCCACTTTCAGATTCAGTGTTCCTTTTCACCGACCTGCCAGAGTCATCTCCCACCGCCGCCCTCTCCAGATCTTTAATGTCCAGTCCAATGCTATACCCATCACTACCACTACCACCACCACCACAGAAAAGCAATCGGATACTTTCGTTTCCCGATTTGCTCCTGACGAACCCCGCAAAGGCAGCGACGTCCTTGTCGAAGCTCTTGAGCGCGAAGGAGTCACCGATGTCTTCGCTTACCCTGGCGGCGCATCGATGGAGATACACCAAGCCCTCACGCGGTCCCTCACCATTCGCAATGTCCTCCCTCGTCATGAACAAGGAGGGGTTTTTGCTGCCGAGGGCTACGCTCGCGCGTCAGGGCGAGTAGGCGTCTGCATCGCCACGTCCGGGCCAGGTGCCACGAACCTCGTCTCTGGATTTTCTGACTCGCTTCTCGATAGCATCCCACTAGTCGCCATTACGGGTCAAGTCCCTCGTCGAATGATTGGTACTGATGCTTTTCAAGAAACACCAATTGTCGAGGTAACAAGATCAATTACTAAGCATAATTATCTTGTTTTGGATGTGGAGGATATTCCAAGAATTGTAAGAGAGGCTTCTTTTTAGCTAAATCAGGTCGACCTGGTCCGATTTTGATTGATGTTCCCAAGGATATCCAGCAACAGATGGTGGTTCCCAAATGGGATCAACCAATGAAGTTGCCTGGTTATATGTCTAGATTGCCTAAACCACCCATGGAGGGCCATTTAGGACAGATTGTTAGGTTGATATCGGAGGCTAAAAAGCCAATTCTGTATGTGGGTGGTGGGTGTTTGAATTCGGCTGGAGAGTTGAGGCATTTCGTGGAGCTTACTGGAATTCCAGTGGCAAGTACGTTGATGGGTCTTGGGGCGTACCCATGTTCTGATGAGTTATCGCTTCATATGCTGGGAATGCATGGTACTGTTTATGCTAACTATGCTGTGGATAAGAGTGATTTGTTGCTTGCATTTGGGGTTAGGTTTGATGATCGTGTGACAGGAAAAGTGGAAGCTTTTGCTAGCCGGGCGAAAATTGTCCACATCGATATTGACCCGGCGGAGTTAGGCAAAAATAAGCAACCCCATGTGTCCATTTGTGCAGATATGAAGTTCGCTTTGGAAGGTTTGAATTCGATTCTGGAGGGTGAAAGAGCTAAGCTTAAATTGGATTTTTCAGCATGGAGAAAGGAGCTAAAGGAGCAGAGAATGAATAACCCTTTGAGTTTCAAGACTTTTGGAGATGCTATTCCTCCACAATATGCAATTCAGGTTCTTGATGAGTTGACCAATGGAGATGCTATTATAAGTACTGGTGTTGGGCAGCATCAGATGTGGGCGGCCCAGTTTTACAAGTATAATAAACCTCGACAGTGGTTGACATCGGGTGGATTAGGGGCTATGGGATTTGGATTGCCTGCTGCTATTGGAGCTGCTGTTGCAAGACCTGATGCAGTTGTGGTGGACATTGATGGTGATGGAAGTTTTATCATGAATGTTCAAGAGTTAGCTACTATTCGAGTGGAGAATCTTCCAGTCAAGATAATGTTGCTTAATAACCAGCATTTGGGTATGGTTGTTCAATGGGAGGATCGGTTCTATAAGGCTAACAGGGCTCACACTTACCTGGGAAACCCATCGAATGAGGCAGAGATTTTCCCTAATATGTTGAAGATTGCGGAGGGTTGTGGTGTTCCTGCAGCCCGTGTGACACGGAAGGGAGATCTCAAGGATGCAATACAAAAGATGTTGGATACCCCCGGGCCATACTTATTGGATGTAATAGTGCCTCATCAGGAGCATGTCCTACCTATGATCCCTAGTGGTGGAGCCTTTAAGGATATAATTACTGAGGGTGATGGAAGAACTAAGTATTGAAAAGGTGCATTTAGCCCATGCAACAACTTGCAATACAACATATAACTAACTATTAGTGGACCGAGGCCACACCATTTTAACTAAGCCTAGTCTTTGGTGGCAGATTTCAGGCACTCTGCAGCAGATTTCAGGCAATCTGTTTATTAAAACCTAGGCTTATTAGTTAAAAACGTGTGGCCCTGATCGACTAATGGTTCAATGTTGTGTTGCCGGTTTTTGGAAGGACTAAGTGCACTTTTCTTATTTATGGTATAAGTATTTTGTTGATTCAGTTCTGTTTGTTTGCTGTGTGGAATGTGGAATACTAGTTTATTCTCTTTGGTCTCCGTAGGGATGGATCTTGCAAATATATAGGTGTTATGTATAATGTATTGGAACATTATAATTATCCTGTTCTTGATTAGACTTGTCCAGATATCTATATATGTTTGATCCAATGGTTACATGATTAATGTTTTTTTGTGTTTTTTGAACAAATAGTAATTAATGTTAGGCTGTGGTTTTTCTTTGTAATTGTGATTTCCTTGGTCATATTTATGATTATTTGTTTTTAACATTCTACCCAAAAAAAAAAAATCTATTTACAATTTAGAACCAAAGTAAAAGAAACATGTTCAAGCGGATGATTTGGATGCAATAGGGTGATTTCAATGGTAGTACTCCCAATGTATGGATCTTATTGAAGTTCATGTGCAAGAAAATGTTTGCAAGTGTCTTTTACTTGGCAAGGCATCTACTAGCTGAAAAACACTTCACTTTCCTCTACACCAAACTTTTCTGACACAACTCTAACTAAAATCATGATATACATATTTGATGTAATTATCACGTTTTTTTCGTGAAATTTATACAACGACAAGGAGAGTAAAGAAGAAAAAGAAATATTTCCTGATAAAGGCGTGGGCATTTTACATCAATGGATACCATCGTAAGGGTAAAAATGGTAGTTTGCATCATGGAATCTGTACAAGGAAAAAATCACCGGTGACATGGAAACTGAGTGCACGATTTTTTAGAGAAACAAGTGGAGAGCTGATTAGTTGAAGTTTTTAGTGGCCTATGCTGATCTAATAAAAAAACAAGTGCAATGATGATGTCGATTGAGTTGTCGTTGCCAACTGGGATCCGGTGGACATTTTTGTTGGCGATGTCGTGGGAATGTTGACATTTCTCAAAGTCAGGATAAAAAAGAATTTCAGTGTCGAGTTGAGGAATTTTTTATACATCTTGATTGTCCGCGGTTTGCATTTTCCTTGCATAGGCCTTCCGAACGGAGTTGGATTCTCCTCCTTCAACAAAACCTCATGAGATCACCTTGATCTCCCCCGTTGGTTGTTGATGTTGCTGTCTAGCTGGGGAGGTTCTTGGTAGTCTTCACTTACTTGGGAAAACCCATCAAATGTAGCAGAGATTTTCCCTAATATGTTGAAGATTGCGGAGGGTTGTGGCATTCCTGCGGCTCGTGTGACACGAAAGGGTGATCTAAAGGATGCAATACAAAAGATGTTGGATTACCCATACTAGTTGGATGTAATAGGAGCATGCTCTGCCTATGACCCCAATGGATTAGCCTTTAAGGATATAATTACCGAGGGCAATGGAAGGACTCAATATTAATCAGTCATCAGTAGCTATACGTTGGGTTATAGGCTTGTTGCATGGAACAACTGCACTTATTTCTTGTGTTGATTTAGTTTATTTTGTGTTTAAATTGAATATCATATACTTTTTTTTGTCTTTATACATATTACTTTTTTTGGAGCTAGGGTTTTTTTTTTTTGACAAAGTGTATTTAAGTAATTTTGGGATTGAATTATGATGGGACCCACACTTCAAAAATGGTGGAATTAAGTTTAAACGCGTTTTTCTTTGCGAGGAGATTAACGTTGATATATTTATTTATCCAAAATCATTAAGATTTGAATAAGAAATTATGTCTCAAAGTGACTCATTTATTGCGATGAAATAAATTAAAAGTGATGTAATGGAATAAGACTAACACTTTGATAAGTTAATATACTCTTAGTTGGTTTCATGGATTGGGCCGAAATAGGTACTACACTTTTATGAGCGGAGCGAGCGCCTACACTACCTTGGTTACCACACATTCCATACCGTGACCGGGCCAGGTGGGTTTGGGCTTAGGCCAAAAAAATATAATTTTTTTAGACAATATTTATTTGGAGTGGTACGGGTTATGAGTCAAACCAATCGGATCTGAATGTGGATTGTAATTAAAATCCCAACCAAACTTTAAATCTAACTGAATTTTTAAATTTTCTATTCGTTACTTAGGATTTAGTGCTGAAATTGGGTCTGGTTCATTCCAGGAGGTGCCTTTTGCTTGTTCAAATTATAAAAGTGTATCTCCTCAATTCGAACAGTGGCATCCCATGCCTCTTCAAGTGATCTGAACAATCACTAAGGGTCTATAAATACACTGACGATTGCCATTTTCAATCCATCCCATTCTGAATTCGTGTTTTAGAATTCATTCTCTTTCTTTGCATATTGCTGCATTAATCTTTCTTATTCAATTTAACTATAAACACAAGTTGTGTTCGCTGGTCTTTGGAGATTAGAGTGCTACATCTGTAAAGATGAAATCCATTCTATCTTGAGAGACAGTTGCTCATCTACCTTGAACACTGAGAGGGAACAAATCTGTCTTAAAGAGATTATGGTTACACAAGACTCATATTGTATATTCTAGTTTTCTAATTTGACTATTTTATTCCTATGGAGCGTCTAGTAACAAGAAGATTGAATTGAAAATATCGACAAATTCTTGCGAAGTCCAAAGAAATGAAATTAAAATAAAAGGAGGTTAGCTGTTCTTATTTCATCTTTTAATATCAAAATAGCGGATATAGTCATGTTTCAATAAGTCAGGTCCACGTACTTTTTCTTTTGTTTTCTTTTGGTTATTTCTAATCTAACTGGGGATAAGTTGCATAAAGCCAACTTGATTTTATGTCCAGGTGATATATGAGTGACAAGAAGATTATCAGTAATCTAAATATGAGAAAGTTCTTTTCAGTGCTGCAAAGACCATTTTGATAGGAAGAGTGATGACTCAAATTTGGAATTCTTTGTTTTGCAATGGCTACTACCTTGGATTTGCCTCTGCAGGGGACACTATTAAGATGCCACATTTTATTTTATGCGTATATCTTGAGTTTCAAATGGTCAAGGGATCAAGCCCCCCTCCTCTTTCCCCTTCCCCTTCCCCTCCCCCCCCTCCCCCCCCCCCCCCCCAAAAAAAAAAGAAAGAAAAAAAAAGCCATTGTAACTACTCAACCTCTACAAAGTGAGATTTCTGGTTTCAACACCTGCAAAATATCCTTACATATGGTATTATAGAAAACAATGTGGACTTAGTGTGAGATTTGCAGGGATCAAACGAACAAATAGTTCTTGCTGTTTTGGCAGTTGGTACGTCTATTCATTGGCTATTTTATATCAAACTTGTTTCTTTTCCTTCTTCATCTATGGACGTTTTGCATTTAGGAAGTTGGCAGGTGCATTGTACAATATTCAAGCTCTTTGGGCATCACTTTCACCATTATCCTAAAAGTGGAATAAAAATTTCACTGAATATTGGATTGCTTGACCACAGTACTTGTAGTCATCTCGCGAAAATGGATTCTACATTAGGAACCCAGGTAATGTGCCTTTTTCCATACGGAGAAGTTGCTGTTTGGATTTAGAATGCAAGTGAAAGTCTTGCTATATTAGCAGACAATGTATCTGGTTGAAGTTAAAGAAATTAGCCCATTCTAACAACCAACCAAATCATTAGTACTTCTAAGGATATTTGGAAGTTCATGACATTAAGACAGTCCACTTAGATAGCAGTGGGCTGAAAAACCTGTTCTCACTTGAAGATGAACCAGATTCAGCATATGATATCTGGAATCAGGTTGGGTATCTACAAATAAGGCAAGTTAACGGTTGTTATATAAGTTGATATGAGTCATCTAAAACCTTATCTAAGCATGAATCCTAAGATAGTTGATAATTACTGAAGGGGAACTACATTGTCGACAAGTGTAAGTGACATTTAATGCACTCACGTGAGGGGTGATCAGGTAAATCACGTGAGTAAACAGTAAAACAGCAGCCAGGTCAAGTCTTGGATCCTTACTTCGGCAAGGACGGGCCGAATTGTTTAAATAGCTCAGGAAGGAAGGAAAGGACTTGGTTCCAATTAAACTGAGCTTCTCATGTAAGCGGCACATTACTTAGGAGATGCCTATAATTTAGGAATTTTGGTATAACAAATGAGCATGATCACCGGCTCCGTAAGAGCAAGTCAACTGGGAGAGTGTCTGAAGAGATTTCAGTAAATCCCTAACAAATATCCCAGATTGATGGAGGGTGTGCCACCTTGCAACATCAATTAAGGAAACCCTAACGGAGGGAGGCTCTATAAAGGGACACAAAATTTTCCCTGCATAGTAATTCTTTGTATTCAATTATTGACTTAAGCATCCGAGTACCTTTGATTGAAGCACTTCGATCTTGGGCAGTTTGTTCATTTTGTAGGAGACAAAGAGAAGGAATACGAGTTCCAAACTAAAACATCCCTCGAGAGAGGTAAATCCACATTTTGTCTCTTACATTTGACATCGTTTGTGGGAAGATTTATCAACTTGAATAACAAGCCAATGTCAAGGCTGAAAAGTGCCATTGGAACACCTATAAGCGATAATGCTCGACAGGACTCTGACCCCAATTACCAAGTATCATTTTCCTTTGATAGCGATATTAGAATGGATATACATAAGGTCCCAGACAAGCCATTTGATGATGACAAGCTGTCGTCAGCAAGTTTCAAATCTCACAAGCACAAGGATCAACATTATTCTATTAGGGGCGAATCCCTCCGTACTAAGGGGGAAAACCCCTGCCATGGCGAAGTTAGTCCGGTCCTTACAAGATTGATTGGATGCACACAACAAGATGTTCAAAAAGTCTTATGCTAGAGAAAAGGATCT